TGTATTTACATCTTTTGGAAAAATTGAAAATTATATGTCGACACGAAAATAAACATCAAAAGATTAATTTAATATTTGAGTAAAATTTAATACTTATAGTTTTTATTAATTTTTTTATTTCATTGTTATTTTATTTTATTTTAAAGTTCAGCATCTTTTTTTTGAGAATAGAACCAAAATTTAAAAAGATGCTTTGTAGAACTCTTAGTAGTCATGTTGTAAAAACTAATATTTGTAAACTTAAAATCTCCAGTTGATTTGTAGTGCAGGCCTAGGATCGACTTTAAGGCATAAAAAAAGTAGTTTTAGTGGATTTATACTCCCAAAAAAAGTCGATTTCTTTTATTTTAACAAAATTTAATTGGTTAATGAATATTTTACTTAAAAAAAAATAACTAGTACTAATAGATATTATATTCATTTTATTAAATCTGTAATAAGAATAATTCTATAAAAATATTATCAAGAAAAGTATATTTCGAATATTGAAAAATCGAACTAATTATAAGACAAATTTTCAAAATTTTATTTAAGTAGGATAAATTTCTAAAAAAATTCTTAAAATTAATTTTTTTGAAGTCTGATTTAAAAAATTTATTCGAATTTAAAATTTTGTCACAGTTTTTAGTTTTGATAATGAAAAAAATTTCAGGCAATAATTAACCAAGTTTTACAGATTTTTAAATAAAACTTTTTTTTAAATAATAATTTTGGAAGAATAAAAGTTAAAATTTTTATAATTAATTGAATTTCAAAAGATTTTGTTAATTTTCAGATTTTTATATAACATTTAGACTAAAATACAATAATTTGAAAAACTTTTAAGCAAAAAATGGTTTCAGATAGTTGAATTTTTGAAGAATATTATGAAAATCATTAAAAATAATTAAATTTCAGGAGAGTTATAATTGAAATTATTATTAATTTTCAAAAAATTTTATATAGAAAATTTTAGAAATAATTAAATTTTAGAAGCTTTTAAATTGAAATTTTTGAAAATAATTGAATTTCAGAAGATTGTGTTAAATTGAACCTCCCAATTTTGTAACTCGTTTAGCGCTCGGATGGACGCTCTGTTAGTAGTCGGGTAGCAGCGAGCGTTAATGGCTCCCTTGCTGCTACCCGACTACCAATAGAGCGTCCGGCCGAGCGCTAAACGAGTTACAGAATTAGGAGGTTCAATTTCAGACAATAATAAAATTATAATAATTTTTCGAAAAATATTATAAAAACCATTAAAAATAATTAACATTTTTTTCAAATAATTAAATTTACAGTGATTTAGAATTAAAATTTTTTGGTAATTTTATTTGCTATTTTTTTTTAAATTATAAACAATGATTAAATTTCATAAAAATTTTAATTGTAAAATAGTTTAAGATAAATGAATTTGTGAAGAATTTCATTAAAATTATTAAAAAATAATTAATGTAGTGAAGAATTTTAGTTAAAAATTTGTTAAATAATTGAAACAAAGAAGATCTGTATTGTATACTGAAAAAACATATTTTGTTTAAAATTCTTTTTAAAAATGTAAAAAAAAGTCGAAAAAGTTTCATTTTATTAAAATAAGTCGAAAAAAGTCGGAAAAGGTCCAAAAAGGTCGTATAATCCGAGACCTGGTAGTACAAATTCACATCCAACTCTTTCTGAAGAATGTCCCATCTGAGAAAAAATGAAAATTTAACCTGTTTTAATGTTACGTTTAAAAAAAATAATATAACCCTTAAACTGTAAACATGGATCACTCGTGCCTTTTGAAAAGTAACACAGTAACAGTATGCTATCTCGGAGGGGGGTCGGTCAAACTATATTGTAAAAAATTGTACACTATACATGTTCCATAAGTACCAAAGGTTTAATGCATAAACAGTATAGTTACAGGAACCAATCGTATTTTGAAAAGTGCATGAGTGACCCATGTTTACACTGCCGTGCTGATGAAGAAAGTCCGTACTTGCATTTAGAGTGTTTTCGAGATATTTAAAGAAACGCGTTTTTAACTAGCATAATTAATATATAAAAGTTATTAAAATAATTACAACGGTACTTAACTAATTTTGGCATGCTCTATTTAATGGCGCAAAAAAAATTTCAAAATTTTCATTTTTTATAAACAAAATGTCGATTACTGCCAAAAATTAATTTTGAAATCCTGAAAATACTGCCACAGAGTCCGTAAGTGCTCCTACGGCTCGATGACGTCACGACCATAGAGTCCGTACTTGCAGCCTATTACGTATATTCTATCTTGTGACTATGGAAAAAAGTATTAGGCTTTTATATTTTTTACAATTTTTGTTTGTTCTTATTTAAAAAAGTACAGAAGTGTAATAAATAATAATTTACAAATAAATTAATAATAGTTTTTCTTTAATTTCTTAATTATTATTAATTTATTGAACTGAAAGAAATTCAGAAAATATTAGACAAAATAAAATTCAATTGTCACTGAAATATAATATTTAATTATAAACAAATATATTATTATCAGTCATTTTGTTGAATTTATTAAATTATTTTAAATGATGTTGATTTTTTATTTTAATAATGGTTGTTTATAGTTGTTAATGTTATTGAATTAATTATTTATTATTAAATTATTGTTTAATAATATTAATAATAATATTATTGTTTAATTATTGTTATTAAAATATTATTTAAATTAAATTAATTAAAAATTATTATTATTAAATTAATTAAAATTAGTATTTTCATTTAAATGTTTATTTATTTTAGATTAATAATAAATAATTAAATTACTTAAGTTAATGTAATGTTATTTGTAGAAATGCAAGTACGGACTTTTTCCATCAGGAAAGTTGGTCCTTTATCGCCAGAAATACTTGAGGCAAAGAGTCCGTACTTGCTCTTACGGCCCATGGCATCAGTATTTCTAGTCAAGTCAGACCACATTTACTGGCAGTACTTGCCCTTGCGGACTCTGCTTCCAGTAAAGTTCGTAAATACGTCATCATTTTCGAGCAGTAATAGCACTTACCGACTATTTTGCTTGCAAGTACGGACTCTGTCAAAATGATTTCGCGAAATCACTGTAATTAAACACTAATTAATTAACATTAATAAAAAATATTACTACAGCTAGATTCCTTTTTTCATAACGAATCCAGTGATATAAAAAACTCATTTTCGATAAAAATGTCGATTACCGACTTTCTTCATCAGCACGGCAGTACAGTGAACGGTGCCAAAGTGTGGAATGTATAAAAAATGATGCTTTCTTAAGAAAAAGAAATTTTTAACGTTAATAAAAATTAAAAAATAATATAATGTCTATTTATTGTAATTTGTACCTCTTTTACGTACATTGAAAAAACATGATTTTCATGCTCAAAACTTAAGCATTTCTCTTATTTATAAAGATTTTCAGTATTTTTTCCCACAAACTACCACTCTTAAGCTTTACCCTCCCATTTCAAAATTTTACAAAATATTGATTTTACTAAAAGTTATGATTTTTTTTTGTGTTTAAATTATTTATTCATATTATTTAAACAAATGAACATTTCAGCAATATAATGATTGGTCCTTATTCTAGGATAGTTAATGCAATATTATGAATTTTGTCCGATTTTTTAAAGCACTTTAAAGCACTTTTTAAAGCGTCGGACACAAGTGACCCATGTTTACAGTCAACGAAGGTCAAAAACCACCTTACAGTCTAAGGGATAAGAAATATTATTTTTCAGAAATATATATATAAAATTGCATGCATAAACATTGACAATTATTTCTGCAATATTGCTGTGATTTTTAGGTTAAAAAATAGAATTTTTCTTTTTTTTTGAAAAATATTAAAGTAAAAAATTGAACCTTCCAATTCTGTAACTCGTTTAGCGCTCGGACGGACGCTCTGTTAGTAGTCGGGTAGCAGCGAGCGTCAATGGCTCCCTCGCTGCTACCCGACTACCAATAGAGCGTCCGGCCGAGCTCTAAACGAGTTACAGAATTGGGAAGATCAATTATATAATTATTAAATTTTTAATTTTACTATAAATTTATTAAATTATGCAATTTTTTAACGAAATATTACACAATTTTTCTTTAAAAAAACGAAAAATTCTTTTTTTTAACCTAAAAATCGATTTTTTAAAAACGATTATAAAAAATTTTGTATTTTTTTGCAGAAAAATTAGAAAAGTGTTCAGATTTAAGATAGGTATATAGTGAATATTTTGTAGTGAGAGCACCTTTGGGTTAAAGTGTGGACATTTATATATTTTTTTAAATAGGTATAACATCAACATTATGATTTTTAGTAACTAGAACAAATTTTTATTTGTATAAAAAATAAAAAAATAGAAAGGATTTCTTCAAAAATAATTAATTTTGTTCTTTAAAATTTGTTACTACTGTAGATTATTACGTTCAAAATATCAAAATTAAAAAAATGGTTAAATATCAATATTTATATTTTTTCAAAATTACATTTTTGTTTATAAAAATATATACATGTGCATAGTTTTGATACCGACACTAAAGGCAGTTCTGCGGCCAGATGCACTCGATGCACTTGATTGGCTAGAATTTTCAGTAGCTACACTTACACAATTATAGAACATCTGTTCATGAGAAAAAGCCAGTGCTGTAACAAAAGGTCTGAATTTTGCAGAAAACATATTTTTTTTCTTTCTCTATTTCCCTTTTAAAAAATATATAACAATTTTGAATTTCTGCTTGTATTCTAGAGAAAGGATATTTTTTATGAATAAAAATTGAAAAAATCAAAAAACCAATAATCAAAGACTTGAACGTAATTTTTTAATAAGAAAAGAAAATTGATTGTTTTTAAAAACCTTTTTAAATAGTTGATAATATTGAGAAAATGCATATTTATAGTAAAGTGTCTTGGCGAGAAAGAAAATGAAAACTGCTTTTGCAAAACAGAGACAATTAATTCATCCCTGGCGCACTGGGCGCGTTCAGATTTTCGTTGACACACACACTTGGAGAAAAGCGGCATTTGTTTATGTGGATGCGCGCGCCTATTTCACTCGCCGGTTCGACAGGAACAAGACGCGTCGACATTCATTGCCGTGCCGCGCGAGATTCCGTGAAATCCCGATTTTCGAAAGAAGTAAAGTGCAAGTAGTGATCAAAATGGCAGGAGAAAAACGCAGCAATAATAGTGACGAGGTTCTACTCGCAGAAACGACAATATTACTTGACGTTGAAGGCACAACGACCAGCATAAGCTTCGTAAAGGTAACAAAGGCACACCATGGCCGTGTGTGCCCTCCATCGAAACGCGCCCGGTTTTTTCGCATTTTCACCGGCTTTTCTCTTACACTGCTGATAGTACATTTTTCCAATAAATTTTTCTTTCGGAAAATCTTCCTCAAATACATTACTCACACTTGGAAATAATTTTCTCGTGATACGTTAATGAAAATCTCGTTCATTCAGATTCTATACTCTTGTGCAAGTTCGAACAAGTATGCCGGCTCTTCTCGGTCGATTCGCTCAATTCGGGGTGTGAAATCGCCCACAATTATTTTTACTAAAATCCTTAAATTTCAGTCTTAAGAATTTGCAAGCATCGGATGTATGTCGGGAATTTTTTCATTCTAAGTTTGGTAATTTGAGAATTATGTAGTTCTTTTCGAAAAACTTTTTTTCTAGAAAGTCAGTAGACAAAAAAAAAAAAAAAAAAATTGCAAATTAGAAATATATACAATAATATATTTCCATGACCTCGTCTAACAATTTTCATATTGATTCATTTGTTTTTCCAGCTGAATGTTTTTGTTTTATTACAAGAAAATTTAAAGGAATTTTTATAGACAAATTATTTTAAGACTTGTTTAACGATGGGAGGGGGAAGTTGACTGTTTAAAAGAAGTAAATAAACTTTGTCTTTAATTTATATTCTTTTAAATGAAATTCTTTTTTTGTAATATATCAATATTTTTGCAAAGTTGAATAGTTTAGTTATTTTTAAAAATATTTTTTAAAAAAATTATATAATTTACAATTATTTTTCTTTTTATTAAATTATAATTAAAGGTATAGATTTATTTTGAAAGTAAAAATATAATTTTAAATTGAAAATGACCTTGATATTTTTACAAGTGGATCTTCTTTCTGTTGGATCTATGCTTCCGAATTAATTTGCATAGACGTCGTGGAGAGTAAAGTGGCCATTTTCCGACGTAACGGTTTAAGAATCTTGAAGCATTTTATGAACCGAATTTTTGTTTCCACATTATTTTTTTTTCTTCTTTTTGAATAAAAAAATTTTTGCATGAATACAAAATTGATACAAAATTCATTTTTCTGAAAATGTTATTATCAAATACAATTTTCAAACATCCATGTGTTTATAAAAGCATTTTTTTTTAATTCAATTTTATTTGTCTTAAACTACATTTGCCAAATTTTTATTTACATTAAAATATAATCGCTGTTTTTTTTCTATTTAAAAAGAAGATTTATTCTTATTTCTGCAATAATTAAAAAAAATAGCCATTTCGACTTGATAATAATTTCAAAACTACATTCTTAAGAATATCCTTCATTACATATATGATTATTGTTAAAATAATTAATAATTAAAAAAAAAGACTAGAATAACAATAAATTAGATTTTACTCTAAAAACTATTGAATTAATCTCAAAAATTAATTTTTTTTTGTGTTTAGGAAAAGCTTTTTCCTTACGTAAGAAATAATTTGAAAAAGTACTTGGACGAAAATTGGGATCAAGAGGAGTTTAAAACCGACTTGGAAAAACTGAAAGAGCAGGTAATTATATTTACATTCAATTATAGAATTTTATTTAATTTTCTTTTTTACCTTAGAATACGAACTTGAATAATTTTTGCAACGAATCAAAAAAAAAAAATTAATAACATTTATGTTATAAAAAAAAAAAATAATAATAATAATATTTTATGTTATAAATAAAATTGAAACAATTTTACAAAATTTAGTTAACTTGATAATTATTAAATCTTTAACGTCCAAGCAGAATATATTTGAATGGGTTTCATAATAAAAACGACAACATTCGAACAAATGGATTTTAATAAGATTTTCTCCAACGTTTCGAAATCACACTGATTTCCTCTTCAGAGAGTCTAACAATACGAAAAATTATAAAATTAAATTAAAAACAAAAATACAAAGAAATTAAATTAATATGAGACGAATTAATAAAAAAAAAACAAAAATTAAATAAAAAACAATATACAAAATAATAAATAAAAATAAATTATAGATATAAACATGAAAATAAGAAAAATAAATAAAATAAACATAAAAACAATTTACCAAATAAAACGATGAAACTAAAATTAGTAATCGTCAATAAAATAATATAAAAAGATGAACATCCAAAAAACACCCATACGATGGAGACATAATATCTGGAGTCAGAATTAAATTTTAATTAATGATCAAAAACATTTAAAATAAATAAATTAATAAGTTAATTTGTTTTTTTTATGAAATTTAAAGAACTGACATTTCATACTTAAAATTTGCCAGTAGGGTAGTTTTGAACCAATGATACGTTGGAGCAGAAACAGCTGCTCGATTGTCAGGTTCTGACCTGTGAGTTTTCTTTGTCCCAGAATCCTGACATTGAACAAGTCCCTCAATCTTTCCTCTGCATTTAACTTACAACTTAAAATAATAATTTTTCATTTTTTTTTCTTTTTTATGAATAAAAAATTAATTTTCCAAATTAACTAACTAGAAAAAAATTACAATTTTTTGTACAATTAAAAATTTTGTTATAAAATTTCAAATTCATTATTTGATTAATAAAAAAAAGAGATTTAAAGCAAAAACAAGTTTTTATTTCATTTTTTGTTTAAAAATTATACATGTTTGCAAGAAAGATAAATTGTATATGCAACCTTTTTGCTTCTTATGAGTATCACCAAAAAAAAATATTCTGAAATCAAGATTTTAAACTTGGCACTTATTTTAGAATATTTCATACTTAAATTCAGAATGTAATATTCTAATTTTAAGAATATTACATACTGAATTTAAGTATAAAATATTCTAAAATACCAAGTATGTATTTTAAATTTTAGAATGTTTTTTATGTACTATATACGAAAAGTCTTATCACGTTTATACTATTAAATAAAAAAAAATGATTTTTTTTTCAAAAATTGAAATTTTTTGTGATGTTGAAAATAAAGCAACTTTTGTTATTTGTTTCCATAAAAAATTAAAATAATTTTTTTATAAATTTTTTAAAGCTTAAATGGAAAAATCTGATGGTTTTTGATATATTGAAAATGTAAATAAAAAAATATTCTGAATACAAATGAAAATTTATCTACAGGCAAATAAAGATGAAAAAGAAAAAGTCGCAGGATTCCTACCAATTTCTGGTACATCTCCTGAAGAGGAAAAGGAATCTCTTTTAAAGAATATCCTTTGGCAAATGGATGCAGATCGCAAAACTGGAGCTTTGAAGCAACTTCAGGGTCACATGTGGCGTCAGGCCTTTGAATCTGGCGACATAAAAGGACAGTACGTATATTAATTCATTGGTTGATTTATTAATATTTTTTTTTAAATATAAATGATATATCAGAAAATGTTGTTGATTAATATTTTAAAGACAAAATTGTCGAAAAAATATTCAATAATTAGATTTGATTTAATATTCTTGTATATAAAATTTCACTAAACCATTAAAAAGGTATAATTCGGAGTTTTAATAAAAACGAGGTGAAAAATATACTTGTGGCTCACTTCCGAATTGAGGTGAAAATTTTTAAGGCGAATATTATTTTATTTGTACCTCTAAAGATTTTTTTTAACTAACGTGGTACTTACATACTGAAAAAAACATACTGAAATTTATAAAATATACTTGGCACCTATTTTAGGATATTTTATTCTTAAATTCAGTATGTAATATTCTTAAAATTAGAATATATTTTGGTATTATTATCTGAATGCTAAGAATGTATTCTAATTTTCGAAATATTACATACCGAATTGAAGTATAAAATATTGTAAAATGGGTGCCAAGTATATATTCTAAATTTCAGAATATTTTTTTTCAATGTACCGATCACAATTATCGCGCGTGCGCCCGTATGTAACTGATTAGTCAATAACTCTACTAAAAATTTACATTTTGTTTTTGTTTGTATTTTGTATATTAGCAAAATTTTGTAAGATCAATTTGATCTATTTCTACTTGTCCGATTGACTTCAAATTTTGCTTCCATATACAGTAAAGTAAGCTAAAAGTAAATTAAATATTTTAATTCTTATTTATTTACGTTTCGATAGCCGATTACATAATTTAATTCGTTCTAATCGATATTTCTTTTTACAATAGAGCAATTCCATGGGATGTGATCAGAAGAATATTTGATGATTGGAGCAATTTTATTGAAATCTTGAGAATATGTTCCTTTATTTGTACAGAATGAAAGCCCACAAACAATTTTTCAAAATTTTCAAAATTTTTTGAGATATCTCTAATTAAAAATTTATGTCATTTTTTTTTTTTAAAAAAACCATGTAACTTTTTTTCTTGTTATCCAAATGAGATCAATTTTTTTCAAATTTCTCACAAAAAGATGCAGAATTTCATAGGGATTACGAAGTTGATACTGAAAATTAGTGGTCTTTTTTAAAAAAACCACTTTTTACATTGTATGGCCCAACATTTTTTGGTTTTAAAGATGTAGATCTTTTTGTTTGGAACAACTTTTGTCTTGAACATTTTTTACAATTCGTACTTTTCAAGATATTTGCAAGTTTCCATACTATATAATGGACGTGAAAATTAAGATGCACGCGTCCCGTCGCGCGGCACGGGACGTTTTAATTTTTGTCTTGCAAAGTTCTTGCTGTCTCATTATGAAAATTAGAGAAGTTATTCTTAACATCATAGGCAATAAGTAGAAAAAAAAATTTTTTGAAATCGAAGAGGTAGTTTTTTCAAAAAATGAATTCAAAATTTTTTTTTGACTTTTTTCCGGGCAAAAAAAAATTTTTTTTCATGAACTATTTTTTTTTTAAATAGCATCTTTTTGTGAGAAATTTGAAAAAAAAATCGATCTCATTTCGATAACAAGAAAAAAAGTTACATGGTTTTTTTAAAAAAATGACATAAATTTTTAATTAGATATCTCAAAAAATTTTGAAAATTTTGAAAAATTGTTTGTGGGCTTTCATTCTGTACAAATAAAGGAACATATTCACAAGGTTTCAATAAAATTGCTCCAATCATCAAAAATTATTGTGATCACATCCCATGGAATTGCTCAATAATAATAAATGTTTTCAAACCATTTTGTTAAGAATTTAATTTAAGTTTAATTTAATTTTTTCACGGTTAAAAATCTTCTATTTTACTACATATGTGAGCATATCTCTGAAACATTTAACTTCAATGTCCCTCGCATATATTTTGGTAATTTTAATAAATTTTTAGTTGGATTTTGTTGGAAATATTAATGTTGTTAATATGTTTGGCTATTTAAGAAAATATTAATTTTTCAAGAAAATTTTATTTATGATTTTTGTTGTGCTAGATTAGTACGATTACAATTATACAAAAACAGATCATAGAGTCAAAAAATGTCAACAGTGAGTAAAAATTTTCTAGATTTTTGGAAAAATAAAAGCAATTGTGAAAATCTGCAGCTCACAACGAACCAAAAAAACGGGACGTATGATTATGTTCTAAAAATCATTAGTCATAATTTACATTTTTTCGAATTTTATTTGTCCTAATTAGTTTTGAGCCGAATTTTAATTTGTTCGAAATAGTATTTGGCATAATTTTCATCAATCCGATTTTCTATATGGCAGAATTGTTATATAACGGAAAATTCAACTCACAGAATTTTTATTTCTTCGAATTTTTATTTGTCAGAATTTTTATTGGGTCGAATTTCATTGAATAGAATTTTCATTTAGATGAATTTTCATTTGTTCAAATTATTATTTGATATAATTTCCATATAATCGATTTTTCATACCACAGAATTTTTACTTAACCGACAAATCATTTAATAAAATCAACCAATCACAATTTTATGAATAATTTTTGATTGGTTGATTTTAAAAATCGCGCCGAAATCTTTCTGTCGATTGTTTGTTCGGCCATTTGAAAATTCGGACAAATGAAAATTCTATCAATTAGAAATTCTATTAAATGATTTGTCGGTTAAGTAAAAATTCTGTAGTATGAAAAATCGATTATATGGAAATTATATCAAATAATAATTCGAACAAATGAAAATCCATCTAAATGAAAATTCTATTCAATGAAATTCTACCCAATAAAAATTCTTTAAAATGCCGATTATGTTAAATGAAAATTCGAGCAAATAAAAATTCGAAGAAATAAAAATCTGTGAGTTGAATTTTCCGTTATATAACAATTCTGCCATATAGAAAACCGGATTGATGAAAATTATGCCAAATGCTATTTCGAACAAATTAAAATTCGGCTCAAAACTAATTAGGACAAATAAAATTCGATAAAATGTAAATTATGACTAATGATTTTTAGAACATAATCATGCGTCCCAAAAAATACTTTAAACCGTTTTTCAAAATTTAAAATTTTTATTACCTTTTTTATAATAACAAATTTTGCATCATTTTTTTGGTTGTCAATGAATATTCACTCTTTTAAATAAACTTAATTGTGAAAAAAAATATTTATTTTTATTAACAATTTGTATTTTTTATACTTTCTACAGCAAGGATTATAATAAAATTTATATATAACATACCTTGGGCATTTGTCTTTATATTCATGAAAAGAAATTTGTATTTCTAATTATATCTGGAGATTTTGAATTTTTTTGCGCCGTGAACCGCACGTCACTGTGGTTTGAAATGAACAAGTATGGTTCAAAACAGTCTAGAGCCTACAAATCTCAACCGATTTTGGAATTTTTTTAAAAATATTCTTTAATAAAATTGTAAGAAATCCCTCGAGCCCGATTTTTGAGTTTCAATTTGCATAAACAGGGTGTCTACTAACTGGAAAATCCGGGAAATAATCGGGAATTTAAAGTGACTGGGAATTAACCGGGATTTTTCTTACTTATGTTTAAATCAAGTTTTATGATTTTAATTATATGTTAATTTATCTTGAAAAAATTATTTTTTACTTTAATAAATAACGAGAAACAATTTCAGAAACACTGAGTAAGTTAACACCGAGTGCATCAATTTTCTTTATGTATATGAAAGTTGGAAGAATAAGGAATATTTCTAATTTTAGGTCATTTCGTTTCGAGGTCTACATTAAAGGTTTATACCTAGTCAAGAGGCAAAAAAAGACATTTTTTGACAATTTTTTTCAAAGAAAGTTGTTAATTTATGGAAATGGAATTTTTTGTATCGAATTATCTAACTTTTGAAGTAAAAGTAATATTTTTAATTTTGCAAAAAATATCGATTTTCGTGGCTGCTGCAACGATTTTCCCTCGGCTTTTCTACAAAAATGTGTCTTACAATGGGCAAGATATTTTTTAACTGGTAAATTGTTTCAGTAGTCACGAAAATAGATATTTTTATAAAATTAGAATTTTTGTTTATATTTTAAAATTTACAAAATCCGATAGAGATAATTTCATTCTAATAAATTAAAATTTTTCTTTGAAAAAAATGTTTTAAAAAACGGCTATTTTTTTGGCCTCCTTGTATCATACTACCAAATTTTATTTAAATTCGTTAACTTACTCCGAATTGTGATTAAAAAAACTTCTGAATTGACTACAATAAAAGAATATAATAATATAATACAATAAAAGAAATATATAAACTTAAAAAACCATTATTTTCATAAAATATAGTCAATTTTCATAGATATTTGTAGATTTATTCATGCATAAAAGAAAAAAAAATTAAATTTCATAAGAAAAAATAAACCGTGTTTTTTTAAAAAAAAGTCAGGTAGAGTTCGATCATAATTCTGAGGCCAATACACATTATGTACTTGTGTTTTCGTCTGTCAGATTGTAACCTCTACACAGTTCAAGTCTCTTACCTTAAAAAACGTCTACGTAGATATACGCCTTATTAACTCGTAAATTAATTAAGATTAATCATTCTAATTAGCATAGAAAAAATCGTCTTCTTTTTACGAATCCAACTGTATAAAAAATTCATTTTCCATAAAATATGTAGATAGTGTCTTTTTAAAGCAGGACGGTAGCCGGATTTTACGTATAACATCCCAACTAGAAAAATCAATTTCTAAAAATGAAGTGAAACTTGAGGAAATCGTTATCCTACCTGGTGATAATATAACCCAAAAAATTTTTTTTACTTTTTTGAAAATTTGTGGATGATAAAGAGAGGGACAATTTTATCAATTTTACTTGACATCGTCTTGTATTTTAATTTTTTCTGTCTATTGCAATCGAAAGCTGAGGTTTTTTCCTATATTTTGGAGGAATCGGAAAAATCTTCTAAAAATTTGTATACATACTGTTAGGAAAAAAAACCTCAGCTTTCGTTTGCAATAATTTATTTTCAAATGAAAATTATCGATTTTGGTGAAAATTTAAATTAAATTAAATTATGAAATTTTCAAATTTAAGGTTTTTATCATCTCTTTCAAATTCTATTAACACTAAATGACTTTCTAAAGTTTATAAAAATGAAAAAATTATTTTTCATCATAGTTACTTTTAAAAAAAGGTCAAGGGGTGGTGCGTAGTAAGGGAATTTTTCTTCAAAGCCTATGTATAAAAGATAGGATTGCAACCCACAGAAAATAAAATATCAGTTTTCCAAACTTGAATAAAAACTATTTGTTTACATTATTAATGGATTTATTTATTTTTAAAAATTGTAATATATGATTTGGCGCATGGGGAGCATCCACAAAACTTTAATCTCAAAGTGGTTTTTAAAACCAAGAGCATTAATGGTTTTAAAAAATAAAAGTTACGTTAGTATTCAAAATTAAAAATATAAAGACTTATATACAAAGACTCAGATTTTTGTCTCATTTCAGTCTCTTTTTTCTAAGATTTGTGCAAGTTTTTAACATTTATGATTTTTTTCAAATTTTTTCATCAAGCCGTTTACGAAATATGAGTTTTTCAAAATTTTAGAATTTTAATGATTTTTCATTTTTGAATGTTCATAACTTTCTTAAAAATGCATCAATTTTAGAAGTTTTTTTCAATATTTGTGTTTTTAACAAAACTTTTCAAAAAAATTTAATGCAAAAAATTATACAATTAAAATTTACTAAATTTTTGTACTTTAAAGATTAAAATCTTGTTTTGCTTCCTCGTGGAGGAAGCTTTGTAGTCCTTTCGTTTATAAAACTTTTCAAAGTGGTGGAAACAAATTTTTTTCTTTATAGAAACATGTTATATGAGATCCTGATCAATTGTCCGGATGTATGTTTGTATGTGTGTGTGTGGATCCCTTTTTTGTTTAGAAGATAACTTTAACAGGTTTTAATGGATTTAGATAAAATTTGGTAGGCTCATTTATCATATTAATATCTCAAATCTGACCAAAGGATTTTAAAAAATACCCAAAAAAAAATAATTTTATCGTCTTTTTTCCAAAAAATTTTTTTAATCGAAAAAATTTTTAAATAGAAAAATTTAAGGTTATATATAATAAAATCGTATTCCTTACGTCAAGACGTATCGATGGATATATATAAAGTATACATTTGAGGTAAATTTAAAAAATTAATGAAAGTTAAATAATCAAAAATTCACATTTTGGCAATAAAATTTTGCTTTCTCCACGAGGGAGCAAATTTTTTTGCTGATCGTAAAGAGGAAGCAAAATGTTCATGTAATGAACATCTGAATTTACAATTTGTTTAAAACTGTTTGTGTCCTTCGACTTTTTTTTAAATTTTCAAAAAAACAACCTTTTACAAAAATTCTTAGCTTAGTCCAGTCGTGGGAAAACAATTTTTTCGGAATTTTCAAAAATTTTCGTTAAATTTTTTAAAAATATCTCTGGTTTTTTATACTACGTACTTTTATGTATTTTGATGTTCTGATTATGAAAATCATAGTGCCAATACCCGAAAAATTGATTTTTATGGTGAAAACCATAAAAAAAGTCCTAAAATTTTTAATTTCTTTCCTTTATTGAATAAAATATGCAACATTTAAAAAAAACTTTTAGACAAAAGTTGTAGATCTTTTTGCAATACATTTTTTTTTATATCTTATGAACTTTTTGATTCTCAGTTTGTACTTCGTTTGAGTTAGACGCACTTATGGTTTTCACCATAAATATCAAATTTGAGGGTATTTTACTATGATTTTCGTAATCAGCGCATCAAAATACATAAAAGTACGCAGTATAAAAAAACGGAGATATTTTTTAAAAAAATTAAAAAAATTTCGATAAATTTAAAACCTTCTGAAAATATTGAAAAAATTGTTTTTCCACGACCGGACTAGGTTCAGAATTTTTGTAAAAAATAAAAAAATTTTAAATTTAAAATTTAAAGAAAATCAAAGGATAATTTTTGAAAAGTTCAGTTAAAATATGAATTTTCTCACCCTCTAAAGGGTAACTGGGGTGTCTAGATAACCCAACTTGAAACTTGTGTAAAAAGGTTTCTATTAAACATAAAACTAATTATATATATAGTGATTTTTATTGATTTTTTAGTAAGGAAAACAATAGTTTTATTGATTTTTTGATAAAATAAAAATAAGTTGAAAACAACTTCCAAAAACGAAGAATTTTCCAAATTTGTCGAAATTTGAATTTTGCTGGGGTATCTAGACACCCCAGTTATTCCTTCTATAGGGTTAAGGAAGTCATGAGCATTTAGAAATAAAATAGTTATTTATGTGACAATCACGCGAGTCGAGATTCCCCTATTTGCGCCCATGTCCCATACATAATTTTTTATAACATTTTGCGTCAAAAACTCGACTAAATTGCTGTGATGGAAGGGGAAAGTGTGTGTAAAAGTACGATTTCCCCTCCTTTTAAGCATTAGTGCGTAAAAGACAGCGATTTAGTCGAGTTTTTCACGCAAGGTGTTATAAAAAAATCATTAAAATTCTGAAAAATTCATATCTCGCACGGAGAAAAATGGAAAAACGAATAAAGTAACTTTTACTACTTTAAAAGTAAAATTGGACCTGTCCGAAGTTTCTGCGCATCTCTGGCAACTTTTACTCGAAAAATAGTAAAATTGACTATTTCTGTAGTAAATTTTACTGTTTCCGTAGTAATTTTTACTATTTCTGAAGTAAATTTTACTATTTTTGGAGTAAAAGTTGCCAGAGATGCGCAGAAACTTCGGACAGGTCCAATTTTACTTTTAAAGTAGTAAAAGTTACTTTTTCTTTTTTTCCGTGCGTAAACGGCTTGATGAAAAAATTTTGAAAAAATCATTAAGTTCTTTTTGAATTGTACAAAACGGTAAAAAAATTTGAGCCAAATCGAAGAGGTCAAAGTTAACGATATGTTGGTTTGGCATGGAATCCGTCATAATAAAGCTTGATATTTCAAGAAAATTGAAAAAAATTTATTAAAATCATAAAAATTATTTTTCTTTTAAAAAGATTTTAAATTTTTCGAATTTTTTGATAAGGAAAAAGGGGTACAGTAGGAATGGCTATTTATCGAACTGTGCGATGTCTGACAATACCATATTCAAGTGACATATGTAGAATAACAATAATTATAATTATAGACCTGTATACAAGCATTTTTGTGTTTATATTATAAAAAAATTAAAAAATTGAAATCAAGTATTTTTTTGATCGTGTTTGGTGTACCGTGGATGTCCCAGTTGCCGTCCACCTAACACCCAGTTTTCGTCCAGTTTAATTTTCAAGACAACATTTATAAAAAAATTATTTTCTTTTATTTGTTTACTTAAACTAATAAGTCGATTGCGTGCCAAAAGGAATAAATTATTGTTAAAAAATAATATAAATTACTATACGAGATATTTGTAAAATGGACGGATACTGGGACATCCACGGTTTTGAAATCGTACTTTTTTCTAAAAATAAAAACATTCCACCTACCCTGAAGTTTAATAATTAAAGTATTCATATTATACAATATAATTTATATATGAAAAGTGAAATTCCCGAAGTGATCCAATAGCCAAAATTTGAATATTGCATTTTTTGAAAAATTATAACTATTCTATAAAAGGATGAAAAAAATTTTGGTCTATATAATTTTGAAAGGTTTTTTCCTGCTCTTTCGAATGGTGCAAATTTAAAAAAAAAAATTCAAAACTGACCCCTTTTTTGAAATTAAAATATATTTTTGACTTTTTTTAATAAAGAAACATTTTTACTTCTTTTTTTACTTCTTAAAATGAAGCTGTAAAATGTATGCTTTTAATAAACAATTTTTATTTTGTTTATTAAAAGCATACATTTTAAGCTCTATTTTAAGGGGTAAAAAAAGAAATAAAAATAGTTCTCCATTAAAAAAAACAATATTTTTTATTTTCAAAAAAGGGCTAAATTTTGAATTCTTTTTTTAAAATTTTGCACCATTCAAAAGACCAGGAAAAAACCTTTCAAAATCATATAGGCAAACATTTTTTTTATCCTTTTATACAATAGTTATAATTAATAAGAAAATTTGATTAAGGGGCCATCCATAAATTAATTTTTATTATTCATTTTATTTAGTGTCTTTGATGATGTACCAAAAGCATTGGAATCGTGGACAAATGGAGGAAGAAAAGTATACATTTATTCAAGCGGCAGTGTTGAATCACAAAAACTGCTTTTCAGCCATTCGCAAGATAAGGACTTAACGAAGGTAATCTACCTCCTTCATTTTCTTCTGTTGAAAAGAATTTCAAAAGATTTTGTTGTGTGTTTAAGTTATTTTTTATACAACATAAACTTACATCGATTTCACGGAATTTATGAATATCTCCCACATTAGATCTATCAGAATTGTTTTTCGCGTTTAATTAAAAATTATTGAATTTTGATTGAGCAGAATTTTATAAAGTAGATTTTTTAATGAACCGAATTTTCATATCGAAGAGTTTCTCATTAAACTCTTGAGTAGCCATTTTCACTAGCTTAGAATAACTTAATTTTATAGTTTACTATTTTGTTGAAAATCTGTTGTCAAAAAACCGGGAAATTACCGTGAATTTATAAAAATATTTGGGAATTTCTAAAAAGTTCCGCTAATTCGTTAAATACGGAATTTGTAAATCATGTTTTGCTAGACACCCTTTTTCGTTTTAATTATTATAATTAAAAAATAGTTATTAATTTATTACTGTATAATAATTATTTTTTTTTTGCGAAATATTATAAATTTGTGGATCACTTCCGTTTAGAAAACAAATATATTCCAATTTTTGACAAAGTTAAGAATTTTTTAATGCTATAAAGTCGTTTCAATCGAATCCACTTGACGTTATAGGATTTTAAGAAAGAATGTACAACAAATTCTCTTTACTATAAATATTGATTGAAAAAAAAATTTTTATTTCAGTTCTTGAGTGGTTACTTCGACACAGAAGTTGGTGCAAAAAATGAAGTTGACAGCTATAAAAACATACTGAACAAGTTAAACATTCCTGCTTCATCAGTACTTTTTCTCACCGATATCGTAAAAGGTTTGTTAATTTTATAATTATTAAAATCGTGTTTTCTATACAATTTCACAATTTTCATATTTTGTCCATATGATATTTTAGTAAATTATGTTACGTTTTATATAATTCTACAACAGAGACCATTTTTCTTCTGTCAATGTATGCAGTGTTGAACCTTTTATTTTACATATTTAAATAATATTCATACTAAAAACTAAAAACCGGAAGAAATCGCTCATTTTTAGCGGGAGAAAACCGGGAAACAAAAAGTTTAAAAATAGTGGCCACCCTGGTTTGTTTTTTTTTTTTTCAATGAATGTATTAAAAAAATGTTTTATTTTGAATGTAAAAATGAAAAAATATTTATTTTTTAGAGGCCGAATCTGCTAAAGAAGCTGGAATGTCGGCAACAATTGTCATTCGTGAAGGTAATGCTCCTCTTAGTGAAGCAGACAGCTCAGCTTTCTCCACAATAAAATCATTTGATGAGTTGTCTTTTCAATCTCTGAGTAAGCGTCAAAAAGTTGAACCTGCTGAAGATAAAAAGGAATCGAAAGTCGAAGAGGTTGCTAAAAGTGAACCAGCTGAGAAGACTGAAAGTAACGATAAGAGTCAAGTAGATGGTAAGACTGAAAAAGAAAATGCCGACGAACCAATGGACACATCTGAGGATATTTCAGTGGAAATTGAGAAGAAAACAGAAGCCGCTGTGACTGAGAAAAATGAAACAAAAGACGTAGTTGAAGCGGAACAATGCGAAGAGAAAAAACCAGTGACTGAAGTTTCCAAGGATGAAATCCCCAAAATCGCTGCTGAAGACTCCAAAGAATCCACAAATACTGAAAGCGTAAAATCTAAAGATGAATCTGTGAAAGAGGAAGCGAAAAAAGATGAAGAAATGATAGTAGACGAACCAGACAAAGCTGTAAAGCCTCAGGAAGTAGAAGTTACTGAAAAATCTGTCGATGAAATTGTGAAACAAGATGTAATTGAAGAGAAATCAGAGATTTCTGCCTCAAAGGCAGAAGATTCTCAAAAGACAAATTCTACTCCTGAAGATAAAATTGAGGAGAAAACAGAACCGAAACCTGAAACAACAGCCGAAGTGAGTGAAAACTCAAAAGAAGTAGTTGAGGAGAAAGTTCAAGATTCCGAAGTGAAAGAACCATCTTCTGAAGCAAAAGAAACGCCCACCGAAACGAAAGAAACGCCCGTCGAAACAAAGGAGGAAGTTTCTGAGAAAACTCCTGAAATAGTTGTGGAAAAAGAAGCGGAAGTGGAAGCGGATGTTGCAAAGACTGAAGTCAAAGAGAACGGTGGAGTTGCAAAGGCAGAAGAGAAAGAAGAAACAGTGAAAAAAACAGAGACAGAGAAGGCTCAACCTGAACTACGAAGTGAGAAGCCAGAAGAAGAGAAAGTTGAGAAGAAAGATGAGGTTCCGGAAAAATCAAAAGACGAGGATAAAGCTACGGAAGTGGACAAGACGAAGGAGGAAGAGAACAAAGTTAATGGCACGAGTAATGGCGAAGAGAAGCACAGTAACGGAGTTGGTGAGAAAGAAAAGTCAGAGTCGAACACGTCGAAAGCGACTTCCTCGCAGAACGGAGAGGCGGAAGCTGACGAGTCTTCAGAGGCGATTAAAGTAAAGAAAGTTGTTGACTCGACAGTTGCCGACGGAGCTGGTGAGCCCGAAGTCGTCACTCCTCCCGTAGCTGTCGCTGCAACGTCCTAATCGCATTTCTCGCGATATAAGTCCTTCATACATAACCCCCAATCCCTCGATTACTTATCTTACGATTATAAAAGAAAACAAATGACAAGAATACACCTCACTGCGGCTCAAAGGACTTTTGGGGGAAAATTAGCGATAGGTAGGTTCAACCTTTCGAGCGTTGTCTTCTCACACAGAGCAAATGCAGTAATTAGTCATTGCCCAATTAATCATAGCGAGCGTTTTTCATTAAAGGAAATTCAAATGTGTCGTTGTTCAGGTATTGAATTTGTGTTCGATGTGATTCAAAGAGAGATGAACTTTTCTTTCGTTCGGAAAATTGCGTTTCTTCAGTAAAAATACATACCTTAACAGCGTACTAGTTTCGAATATCTTTTTGAACAATGATTGATGGGTTGACACACTTTTAATGTTCCTACAAAAAAGAGTTTTCATTTTTTAAAAGCAGCTTTAGATAGTTTTTCAAAGAAATATTCTGGTGCTGTATTGTGCTCAACGACGCGATTTCGGTATAATGCATATTTTTAACCATTGCTTGAGTATAAATCGAAATGGAAAATATCGGAAAATTGCCTCGTTGGTCGCAAATAGTGTTGTAAAATTCCTGATTTTATCGGATAATTCCCGGAGAATTGAGAATTTGACGACTCTAGTCGCGCGAGAATGTCCTTTCGACTTTCTCGACTTATTTTCTAAGCTTTATACTCATCCCACACCAGTAATTCCTAATATGTATCTCGAGACAGCATGTCTCTGCTTTTTCTATTTTTAAGATTTTTATATTAAATTTCTCATTTGATGTGAATAATTTTTGTTCTATGCTTTCTTCTTTTGCTCAATTATTTTATTTTCTCCCCCGCGGTTCTAAAATCTAGAGAAGCGCTACATTATGATAAATCCGTAAGATAGGAAATTCGTAGATGGAGTATGATATACGAAATGTACTCTGTGCCAAATGACCTAAAAATGTCATTTTTCATTGTATTTTTATGTCAAAAAAAAAAAAAAAAAAAAAAATTGAAAACAGTCGATCTTTGCTTTCACTTAAACTTGCGATTATATAAACTGTCATTCTTTATCAGAATCTTAAAAAGTTTTTAATGACAACCTTAGTGAAAATATTCGATAATCTAAGCAAAACATTCTCAAATTTCGTCTCCTTATAATAATGAATATTTATTCTCGATACATTGACACATATTTTCACTCGGGTTGCTTTCCACCATTGTGATTATTAAATTTTACTTCATTTGAACGTGACTAGTAGAGATTATTTGGGGACTTTATACTACAATACAAAATATGAAATTGGATTTAGATTGTAGAGCGTTCTTCGTGCATAGTACTTAAGCTCAAAAATACAACTTTTCACTCATCGTACAACATGTTTTTTATAGTAATTTCAAGTATATACGTAGTCGCATTATTCACCTTTACATATAAAACAGCTTTTCTTTTTTTCGGCAAAATAGTGAGTGTGTGTGTGTGTGTTGAAATTTTTTTGGAACTCAACTGGAAGCTACTGAGTCATTTATAAAATCTTAGGTTACAAAATGGCGTTTTATTTATTTATTTATTCTTAATTTTTGTCTCCAAAATTTTCTGTGATTTTTACTAGATTTTTAATTGATTCAAGCTTCTAGTTTATTTTTATAAATCCAAACTTTGGTTAATTTAGGTCTTTTTTAAAAAAAAAGAAAAATAGAAAAAAGAAAAGCTTTTTAGTTTTCTTTAAAATAATAATTTTTTCTTTATTTCTGAGAACCGCATCTAGTTCCAAGATTGTTTCTTATTTCTTTAATTGTAAGAACAATAGTTTAATAGTTAATCTTTTAATTTTTTTTTACGTATACGTTTAGATTAATCTTTTTTTTTTGTTATTGACGACTTAATAATGTAAAATCTCGAAAAAGAGGAGAATTTTTTGTACCGTTTCCAAGGGATTTTTATTTTTTGTGCAGACTTATTAGAATTATTTTCTTTTCATCTTGGAACATTCCCTGAAAAGATCGACTGATTATTAAAGACTTACAATTAACGATTGCTGAATAGAGAGACTGCCTTGGTTGACTATATGATAATATAAGTTCTTAAGGTGCAGGATGTCAATAACAGAATCGATATTAAGTTCTCGATTGACTTTCACCTCATCATCCAATGTGTATCATTCCATATCGTCTCATATTAATGTCTGCGTCAATAGTCGAGAGCAATGTTGGAGAATGTTTAAGACTACCTGCGCGTTAGGAAGAGACAAAAGTTCTCAAATATGCTGCGATTTTTCTTTTATACCTTTCTTCGTCGTATAATTTGTGACTACGCATCTACTATAATCTAATAAGTTCTCTATAATTTTCAGAAATATTAAAAATAATAAAAACACATTTATAAGTTAAACAACTAAATTTTTCCTATGCTCCCGTCTTTAATATTAATATCTTAAAAATGGAGAAAAAAGTGTGTTAATTAGTGTCAATTTACACTTTTTCATATCTCAGTGAATATTGAGTCAATAGTGATTAAAAATTTTCTAGATTTTTAGAAAAATAAAAGCAATTGTGAAAATCTGTAGCTCACAACAAACCAGAAAAACTCTTTAAAACGTTTTTCAAAATTGAAAATTTTTATAACGTCGATGACGTGTATACACGCACATAAATTTTGAGCCCAATAATAAGACGGAATTGGCCTAAAATTTGTTACTCGGGGGTTTTTGGGGTCGCTGCTTCCGAATTTGATGTCAGATTTACAAAATTCAAAATGGCGGATCCAATATGGCGACCAAAAATTTTGAAAATTGACCATATTCGCTTGAAACTCGTTACTCGGGGTTTTTTGGGGTCGCTGATTCCGAATTTGATGTCAGAATTACAAAATTTCAAAATTCAAAATGGATACAATAATAATCACACCCATACTATGCTATTTTGAATTTTCAAAATCTGACTTGAATATCGTAAACAGCGACGTTCCAAACCTCTGAGTAGCAGATTTTAAGTAATTTTAATTAATTTTTAAATTTTTAGAAAATTATCTGCCACATTGGTAACGCCATTTTGAATTTTTAAAATCTGACTTTGGAATCGTAATCAGCTACCTTAAATACCATAGTATACACATATGCACAAATTTTGGTCATTCAAAAATTTACTGACATTTTGGGCCCACTTATGAGTTTTTGGCCTCGACTGCGAAGGGGTTAATAATAACAAATTTTTGAGTCATTTTTTTTTAAATTAACTCAAATTTTGTTTGCTTGAAATTATTGGCAATTTTTTTAGTAGTCAATGAAAATTTATATGTAACATACCTTGGGCACTTGTCTTTATATTCCTGAAAAAAATTTGTATTTACAATTATAATTGGAGATTTTGGATTTTTTTTGTACCGTGAACCGCACGCCACTGTGGTTTGAAATGAAAAAGTATGGATCAAAACAGTCTAGAGCCTACAAATCTCAACCGATTTTGGAATTTTTTTAAAAAATATTCTTTAATAAAATTTTAAGAAATCCCTCGAACCCGATTTTTGATTTTCAATTTGCATAAGTACTTATATTCATATAAACAAATGAAATAAACGTGTTTTTCTACCTATTATTCTTATTTACAAACAAATAAGAAAAGTTTTTATCGTTGTCGACTTAAATTTACTCCACTGGATCTCTGAATTGTAGAATGTTGATATAGACCCATTAGTAAATTGTTACAAACCAGTTGTTAAATTTAGTCAATGACATTGATTAATTTAAATTAAACTGATTACTTGGGGATTTTCGGGGTCGTTGATCAGGAATTCGATTTCAGTTTTTCAAAATCCAAAATGGCGGACGAATTTGTAAAAAAATCGATTATTTTAAAAAATCTACAAATTTCCATATTTATATTAAAGATATTACAAATTTGTCCGCCATTTTGCATTTTGAAAAACTGACATCGAATTCGTGTTCAGCGACCCCGAAACCCCCGAGTAATCAGTTTAATTTCAATTATTCAATATCATTGCCTAAATTAACAATTTGTTTGTAACAATTTACTAATGGGTCTATATCAACATTCTACAATTCAGAGATCCAGTTTAAAGTGTTTTTTTGGTTCACTGTGAGGTACAGATTTTCACAATTGCTTTTATTTTTCCAAAAATCTAGAAATTTTTACTCACGGTTGACGTGGTTTAACTCTATTAAAGTTCGAAATTTGGATTTCTAAAATAGTAAAATAAATTGTTTTTTCTTTTTTGACAAATGTATTATAAGAGTATTCAAATTTTTAATTTTAAGGATATTTTTTTTATTTAATTTTGTCATTTTGTTTACATTCTTTTTTAAATTAACATACATTTCTGCCTTGCACTGGAAAAAAATGCTCTTTTTGTGTAAAAATCAAAGAATTATTGATAGAATTAACCAATTTTAATAAATATGTTAATGTTTGTTGATTACAGAAAACAGGATTAATATTGAGAAGGTAAAAAATAAATTTCCTTACCAATTAAAAATAATTGCAATTTGACAGTCTTAGAGAAAAAAATCATTTTTCGCCTGTAGTACTAAAAAATAGATTGAAAATCTAAAGTCAATATTGAACAATAAAAAGTGCGTTCAAAATAGGAAAAATCGATCGTTTTTGCTGGAGACTTGTTAACTAAAGGTTTTTCGGGTCGTTGTTTTGAATCGAAATCTAATATTCCTAAAGTCTTATACTTTTCGTTTTTCTCCAAGACAGTTATTAACGTTTAAAAATCGCGAAAATCAGTAAAGTGTCAATTTTCTTTTACAAATTTTTTATATTTATCAAGAAGGAAGAAAAATGAAAAAAAAATCTGAATGCAAGAGTGCGATTCCAGGTGAGATTTTGACTTTTTCGGAGTAGGTTAACCGATTGCAATAAAACTTTGGAATTTTGTTATATATAGTAAGACTAATCTTTAACGTAAATTCTTAGCTTAAAATATTTGTTAGTTTACGAGATTTGCAATAATAACAAAAAATTTTAAACTGCTATATCTTCCGTTCTAATAATCGGATTGAGGTCTACTTTTTTTTTAAATGTCAAGGAAAATGAGAGGAATAAATCTCTTTCAGAACAATTTTTTATAATTTTACAACTAAAAAAATTATTAAATAATAATTGCAGGGCCGGATTTAGACCTACGGGGGTCCTAAGCTCTAGACAGGAGTTACCGAAAAAGGGGCCTTAAGCACTCAGTCCTTTTGAAATTTGAGATAAAAAATTAGACAACTCAAATTTTAATATATATGGGCAAATCCACGAAACTTAATTTTTGTGATTTTCGAATCGAACACTTAAAAATCTGAATTATTTTAAATTAAAACTTTGGGTATCATTTTTTTTTGCTAAATTATATACAAAGGAACATTTATGTACAATATTAGAACAAAATATTTATTTGTGAAAGTGAAAAAATGCTTAAATTTCATTTGAATTTCTTGAAAAAGTTTATATTCTTAACGTTTTTATTTTTGCGGCGTGTAAAATCTGTCACTTCAGCTACTATGGAAATATCTAACAGACATATTTTGCCAAAAAAATTTCACTATCTCATTAGTGTACCACCACTAAACCTAAAAATACGAAGGTTTGATTGAGTGATAGCACTTTTAAAAAAAATTCAATTGAACGTCTTCTTATGAAAATATCTATTACGGCGTTGGATAAAAATAAAAGTCCAATGCATTTCTTAAAAGGTGATGAAAAATCAAAACTTTTAAGACCTTCTTCAATGATGTGCCTCTGATTGTATTCCTGTGGCAACAATTTAAAGATGATAATAAAAATCGTGATTTCATTTAAATTTATACATTTTTGAAAGGCACAACTGCATTTTTGCTTTAAAAGGGTCAATCTATGGTGTGATCGAAACATCTTCATACATATATTTGAACACAAAAACGCCGCTTAAGGATTTTGAGTGAAATAAATTTTATTAAGTTATGAATATGCTGAAAAAAATTTTTTGCAGTCTTTACCCACTCTTTTCTCAAAATTTTGACGTGCTAAACAAATTTGGGTGCCAGAATCGTGTTCAGAAGACGAAAATACTTTGGAAACCACTCCGTTATCAAAAATAAAAAAAGTTAAATTTTTCAATTTTATATGTAATTTATTAACATTAAAGTGTTTAAAGAGTTAAACATTGACGGCGTGAGCTAAAAATGAATCACGCATTTGAATTTGTAGTGCTAAAATGTATTTAAACGTGTATACAAAGTGACATCAATGTGCCTGCAAATTAAAAAAAGCAATTTTTTTTTCTTTAAAGTTAAAAGTTTAGTGGATTTGCCCATATGATGTACTGCATGCCAAAGTGAAAGTCCATCTGCAATTGCATTTCCGATTTTTTTTCTGTTTGTACTAATTTAGACTAGCTTCCATGAATTTTTTCAAATTTTTTTAGCAAGCCGTGTTAGAGTTATTGAATTTTGAAAATTAGAGAATTTTTATAACTTAATTTTTGAATGCTCAAAACTTACTTAAAAATGCAACAATTTTTAAAGTCTTTTTTTCAAAATGTGTGTTTTTAAACGTTCTTTAAAAAAAATCGAAATTTTTTTAAACAATATTACAATCAAATTTTTGAGTTTTAATGATAAAAAGTCTATATATATACTATATAACTAACTCTACTATAAAAACTATACTATACTATAAAAAAACCAAAAACATTTTTAAAAAATTCAAAACTCAAAAATTGTTGAAAAATTCCGAAAATATTGTAAAAATTGTTTGACCATTATCGGGAAAAATAATTTGAAAAAAATCGATCAGTACGTCAAATGAAGAAAATGACTTTTTATCATTAAAACTCAAAAATTTAACAGTAATATCGTATAAAAAAAATTTCGATTTTTTTTTAAAAGAATGTTTAAAAACACACATTTTGAAAAAAAGACTTTTAAAATTGATGCATTTTTAAGGAAGTTATGAGCATTCTAAAATTAAAAGTCATGAAAATTCTCTAATTTTTAGAATTCTATAACTCGAAATCGGCTTGCTAAAAAAATTTGAAAAAATTCATGGAAGTTAGTCTCAATTAGTACTAATAGAAAAAAATTCTCAAAAAAATTCGTAGATGCAGTTGCAGATGGACTTTCACTTTGGCGAGGAATACATCATATGTATTTTAATTTTGTTAAAATAATAATTTGTATATAAACATTTATTAATTTTTATTAAAAAACATTTATTTGAAAAAGAATTTAGCATTTAAAAAAATTTGTGGGCCCCCCGGCAAGCCGGGGCCCTAAGCAACTGCTTATTTGCTTACATATAAATCCGGCCCTGAATAATTGAATAAATTTCAAGCGACAATCTAAAATTCAATCACTTAAACGCTAAAATGATCTTACCAGTGTTTTCTTTAATGTTCCAAAGGAATCCAATTGTAAATGCAAGTTTAACTTCTTTAATTTTAATAATTTACGAGTATAAACAATTGCGATTTCTGCTAGTTGACGTGCAGACGACATTGCGCACGCAGCATTCTCACGTAACCAACTGACGTGATTCGTGGACTAAATTGGCTATGTGAGAATGCTGCGTGCGCAATGTCGTCTGCACGTCAACTAGCAGAAATCGCAATTGTTTATACTCGTAAATTATTAAAATTAACAAAGTTAAACTTGCATTTACAATTGGATTCCTTTGGAACATTAAAGAAAACACTGGTAAGATCATTTTAGCGTTTAAGTGATTGAATTTTAGATTGTCGCTTGAAATTTATTCAATTATTATTTAATAATTTTTTTAGTTGTAAAATTTTAAAAAATTGTTCTGAAAGAGATTTATTTTTCTCATTTTCCTTGACATTTTAAAAAAAAGTAGACCTCAATCCGATTATTAGAACGGAAGATACAGCAGTTAAAATTTTTTTGTTATTATTGCAAATCTCGTAAACTAACGAATATTTTAAGCTGAAATTTACGTTAAAGATTAGTCTTACTATATATAACAAAATTCCAAAGTTTTATTGCAATCGGTTAACCTACTCCGAAAAAGTCAAAATCTCACCTGGAATCGCACAAGTACTTTATGTTTCGTATAACTTTTTATTTAATTTAATGAAAAGAAGCATCCCAAACAAATTTTGTTTTTTTGTCAAAGAAATATGTTAAAGTACACATAAAAACAAATATTTATGATAGGATTTTAGGTCTGTGTAATGCGTGGTTCCCATGTTATCAGGGGCTCAATTTTTTTGTAGCATATATTTTTCAAATGGCAATAACTTTTACCCGAATCAATAGATTCTAAAACATACCTACCTTTGAAAAAATATTTTACATGTCAAAATACAATGTAATAATAAATTTCTTTTATTTAAATTGTCATTTTAAAAAGTTTGACATTTCTCTTTTCTGTAACTTTAAAACTGTAAAACTGCCCATCAAATTATGCATCTATTTCTATTTTTCATCAAAGTGTTCTTTATGAAACATTAATTCAGTAAAACATCGTATTAGGTGTTTATATTTATTACAATAAAACGGTCTTAACATAAAGAAAATATTAATTTTAAATTAAAAAATATATATATATATATTTAAGTTCCTTAACTTTTAAAATGTACAAATATAAAAATAACAAGAAAAATAATATTTTACATAATACAGTTCTTGCTTGAATTAATTGATATTAGTAATGTTTTTATTCCAAATAATTAAATTTTCGAATGATTTTATACTTTTAAAATTTCACAAGTAATGTGACTTTGGTCCCATTTTTGTTCTTTTGAAGAATTAATATGCATCCTAGCAAAGGAATGCTTGCACAATCGTTGTGGATTTATAACTACGCATCCATTTATAGATTTACAAAAATTTCCCATATCAGATGGCAGAATTAAAATATGAGGTTGTTTCTTCATGAAGGCGTAATTCTTCCAAAGATTAGTGTCTACGTTCACCTCTTCAGCTGGCGGATACAGTGGATAGAAACAAGCTTGCGACAAAATGTGATTGGCTACACGGTGCAATTTACTGAGTTTAATAGAATTCCTGTAACGAAATATTCAAATTTCTCAAATGTGAGGTTTCAAAATGAGAAACACCAATTGAAAACAAGTCTCGATACTTACGAACTCAATTCTTCATTGCCAAGATGTTTGAAAATATCAACAGCAGTAATTCCAATCGTTAATCCATCGATGTCTAAAACACAAGGATCTGGCATGGAGTGTAAATTTGAAATCGATCTTGGTAAGTAATAATTCGGAGTCGGATAAATTGGTTCGTGATGAGCATCTCGAGACGAAGGAACGATTACTACTTGAGTGCATTTCCTAGAAAATAACGAAAAATAACATAATCACACAAAAAAATTCAGGTTCTGAACTCGAGGTCAAACCATGACTATTTTGTTTTTGGGATCGCTGAAATAAAATCTGAAGTCAATTTAAAGGGAGTGACAACCTTCATTTTGAATCCTTTACATTTTAATGATCGTAGGAAGATATATTTTATTTCTTGCATCATTTGGGTCCTACATACATACAGGATGGTCAAAAAAAATTAATATTTTAAATATCAATTTTGACTTTTTTTCCTCGCTTTTTTAATGATTCTTAAGAATCTCTCGCATGGATATTCAAAAATTTTAATTTTTTCAAAAAAACAAAGAAAAATATGAGTTAAAACATCATTGCACTCTTCTATTAAATATGTATCTTCTTTCACAATTTTAAGTATTTTTCATTGTCAAATTTTTTTCCACACTTTTTTAATGATTCTTTAGAATCACTCGCATGGATTTTCAAAAAAATTATATTAATTTTTTCAAAAAATAAAAATTTTTAAATGGTAAAAAAATAAAATTTTTTTTTTACCACCTTATATGTTTTTAGAACCCAAAATGATGCAAGAAAAAAAATATAACCTCGTTTAGTAATTTAAATTTAAGTGGGTCAAAATAAAGATTGTGACTCCCCTTAATCCCATCGCGTCAGGGCGTCAGACTTTTGACATAACCTCGAAAAAATCCCAAAATTTGATTTTTAAAGTTTATTTTAAAATAATATGTCAAAGCCTGACGTGATGGGATTAAATAGACTTCTGATTCGTTATGTCAACAGGGTGTCTAACAACTGATAGGAAAAACATTCCCTGACTTTTTACTAACCTAAATTCCACTAAATATTTTTTATTTTAATCAAATAAAATTTATTTTGATACAATTAAATCATTTACCTGCCTATAATCCACTAATTTCATATGTATTTGAACCAAATAAATAATGTTTCGTAAAAAAAAAAATACTTAAGTGAAATAAATAAACTAATTGGGGACGTATAAATGTTCTCAACATTTAATTTAAACGAATTTTTACGGCGTCAAATCTTAAATTATCAAATTTTAATTTAGTAAAATTATATAAAACAGATTTTCTTGAACATCGAATTTCAAATTAAGAAAATAAAGCAAATTTTTTTTAACAGAATTGTTATTTTAGTAAATTTCGATTTATCAAAAATGTTTACTTAACAGAATTGTCATTGAATAAATCCACAATTAACCCTTTGAAGGGCACATTTTTCCAAAAAGTAATCACACGTACAGGAGTACTGAAAAATATGTAGAAAATACAGAAAAAACTAAAAGCAAATAGGAGGTACGTACACGTACCACCGCCCCTAAAAGGGTCAATTTGAAATTAATTAATTTAAATTTTTAAAAAAGTATTAGAAAAAATGCTTTATAAGAGTTTTGCTAAATAGACATTTTTTTAAATCGAATTTTAGTTAAATGTAAATTATTCGATAAAAAAATTTTGCATAATATAAAATCTACTTTATACAATTTTGCTAAATAGAAATTCGATAATTTAATTTTTTGGTACCAAAAAGATTATGTATTTTTTAAGATATTTTTGACAAAGATATCTTGATACTAGCAAAGATATTAAAAGTAAACTTTATTATCATATCTTCTAAAAAATGATTAAATATTTCTAATAATTATTAAATATCTATTTATTTGCAATTTTAAGATAAGAATCCGACTAAATAGTTATAATTTTTCATAACATAGCAAAATTATTATTTTTGACCAAAAGAAGTCCATGTGGACATTTAGGGGGGGAGGGGTTTTTTCCAAAAGTCCACGATTATCCGCGAGGGGATAGGGAGGGTCAAAAAGTGATTAAAAATTGTCCACGTGGTATATTTCACTGAAAAAAATTAATTAATTGTTCCAAGTTTAAAAAATCATTTATTAGATTCAATAAATAGTAGTAAATAATTATTTACCTAATGAAGATAGGATATATCACATGCTTAATAATTGAGTGGAAAGGCCAACTTTTTAATTTGCATTGCTTTGGGAGAAAAGTAAAAAAAAACTTGAAACTGACTTCAGATTCGGTTTCAGCGTTCTCAAAAACATAAACTAGTCATGGTTTGACCTCGAGCTTAGAACATGAATACTTTTTTTGTGCCTGTGTTATCAAATAAATAAAATGCCAAAGACGTACCGTTGTTGTCCCAGTCGCTGTCAATTTTTACAAATATCTCATATAATAATTTAAATTATTTTTCAACAATATTTTATTCTTTTTGGCATGCAATTGACTTATTACTCGAAGTAAACTAGTAAAAGAAAATAATTTAAAATAATTTTCTTTAAAATTAAACTGGACGGAAACTGGGACAGCCACGCGGTAATCGATTAAAGCAAATTTCCTTACTCGTTTAGACTCTCCATTACGGTACTGATCATTTTTTCGAATAAATCCTGATGTGTTCCAAAATCATGTACATTTTCAATCAGCGGATGTGTATACTCAACGAATGGCCCAATTAAAATAAGAACATGTGGCTCTTCTTCCTTTATTCGCTCCAGAAGATTCATCAAAGGTTCGTAGTTCAAATTGTCAATTGAAGTAAACGGTCCAGCCGCAACCGTTATTATGATATCGTTTGTTAGATTAGGAGTATCTGCAGGTTCAGCGTATCCAGCGGAGAAAACATTTTTTACTTCGAGTACATTCCCTGACATGTTCACGCCTTCCATTGCTATTATTTGACCGGGGAAAATAGAATATTCCGAAACTTGAGTTAAATTTATCGGCACAATACTTGACTTGATTCTCTTTTCACCAATTTGATCATGATAAAAGCAAATCCCTTCCAATTCTGTTGATACTTTGTTTAACTTTCCATGCATGTCGCAACGAATTCGTCCCCAGGTTACAAAATTTGTTTGGCTAATAGTTCTCACGTCCGGCGTACACAGCAGTTTATTTTCCTTTATTTTTTCCCACCTTTTGCATATTTCCTTTCCCAGTTTCATGTAAGTAACTGCTCGTTGAACGGTTCCATCGGAGACAACGTCGAACATGTACATAGCATCGCTTGGTATATGCGCTTGAAAATCAGCCATTTTTATGTTCACTTTAAATTGCTTCTGACTCTTCCATACTGCACGCTTTTCTCCAAAAGTAACCGTAACTTTCCCAGGTCCAGTTCTTGAACTGTAACGACTCGGTGTACTTCTAATTAAAGAAAAAGATGTTTAGAAACTCTTAAAAAAGTTGCAGTTATGTAAAAATTATGCTTTCAAGTAGTGTCAATTATGCTGTTATTGTGCTCTTAAAAGTTTAATTCTATGCACTGAATTTGTTGGAATTTCTACGGTGTCGAAATTGAGGCTTCCAATTCAAGAACCGATCGGACGCTCGGACGCACGCGCTAATACCAGTCGGGTAGCAGTGAGCGGTCCAGAGGCGCTCATTTCTCACTGACTGGTATTAAAGCGTCCGACCGGTTCTTGAATTGGGAGCCTCAATTAATAAGCTAGATTTTATATATTACCGAAATTTATAAAGTAAAATTTATATTGAATTGAATTTTTATATTTAAGAATTTTTATTTAACTGAATTCATAATGTCCGAAAAAAGTATCCAACAGTAAAATTTTGGCGGGGATTTTAAAATTAATCAATCACAATTTTCTCAATTATTTCTGATTAGTTAATTTTTAAATTCGCGCCAAAACTTTTCTGTCGGATATTTGGTCGGCCATTTGCAATTTCGGTCAAATGAAAATTTGGTGACTTGATAATTCTCTCAAATGACAATTCGTACAACTGAATGTTCCGACAAATAAAGTATCGATAAAATGGAGATTCTGATATTTAAAAATTCGTCTAAGTAGAAATTCTATTAAAAGAATATTCTGTTGACTGAATTCGTTTTAAATCAGGCAGGCTGAATTTTTTCAGTGCTGCAAATTTATTAGTTGCATGTCATATTTTTTAGACTAATTAGAAACTTTAATTTTTTCTTTTTAGGCCTGAAAGAGCTTTCACTCTTCTGCAAAAATCCGGTAAGAAAATTAAAAAATATTTATAAATAACAAAATGGCGGCCATTTTACTAAAAAAAACTTTTATTTACGAAATTTATTTATAACTAGTGTATTTTTTAGAAAAAGTGAAATTTTTGTTTAAAATTTTTTTTTTAATTTTTCTCTTTAACCAGCTTCGGGCACAAGTTATATTCTTATGGAAAATGTTCTTTAATATGAAGAAAATTTTTCATAAAAATTTGAGCCAAAAGAATGGTGGGGTTTTTGAGCAATTTCAATTTAAAGTTTTTTAATAAATTGGACGCCATTTTGTTATTTATCAATGTTTTTTAATTTTCTTACCGGATTTTTGAAGAAGAGTGAAAGCTCTTGCAGATCTAAAAAGAAAGAATTAAATATGACAAAATGACACTTGAACGATTTTTTTTCTTATTAATTTTAAGATATAAATGACTTTTTTGTCTAAAAATCATTAAAAATCAACGTACATGAAATAAATTTTCAATATATACAATTTATTTCTTAAAAAACACAAGGGAAAATCACCCATATATAATAAATTTAAAATTGAATTATTAAAACGAAAATGTATTTAAAATTTCAACTAACACAGGCCTCGGATAGACTTTTATAGTTTAAAACATAGGATTTACTTTTTAAAGTCGTAAAACAATATACATATTTTGATATGAAAAATAGAATTATTCTTTTTCTTGTTTCATAGGAAACATTAAATTTAAAGAACACATTTTAGATGTCTTAAAAATGAATAAATCTTTTTTTTTGATGAAATAACATCTTAAATCAACAATCTATTACCGATTTTATTTATCAGAGATTTTTTCTTTAAAAAATATAACCTTAAATTTAAGGATTCTTTTTTATGAATATTCATCAGAATAGGCTGTTCAGTTTTCTTGCTTTCTAAGTTACTCTTAAGTTTCTTCTTTGGTTTTTTATTTTTCGATTTGCTTTTTCTTTTTGTTGACTGTTCAGTAGCACCAACTTTCTCATTTTTATTTTTCTGATTAGAATTTGATTTATTTTTTATATAGTCTGTCCAATACTCGTTTGTTTTTATCTTCTAATTGTTTAGAAATTTTATTGATGTCTTTATCTATCACTGTAAAAAGAAAGGTATTAATTTAGTACTGACTTCAGGTACTAAATTGTCATTAGTTCTATTTTGATACCTAAAATCGGTACTGTTTTAGTACTTTTCGGTACTGTTTTAGAACTTTCTTTTTACAGTGTAAATTTTATTCAATAGTGCAGTTTCAAATAACTTGAAAGTTAAAAAAAAAAATTTCAGTGAAAAAAGACAAGTATAATTGCATTCTACTTTAAAAAAAGTCGAAAAAATCGTACAACCCGAGGCCTGCAGACTTATTCTAAAAGAATTTATTTACTTACGGGGAAAAAGTTTCTATAGCGAAAACCTTATTGTCCGGTCCAGAATTTCCAAAATGCGGACTCCTTTGCCTCTTAGAATTCTTTAAATAAAAAAAAAAACAGCTTATATATAACCAAAATAAAGAAAAATCTGGAGCGTAAATTGTTTATAATTGCAATTAAACAACTCGTTTACAATAATAAAATACTCATGAAACGTTCCAAAATGGGCTGCCATAGACGAGTGTGTATCTAGTCACGAAATTAAATAAAACGTGCACCAAATTCATACTCGTCTATGAATTTGCCATTGCTCTAAATGGAACGCTAATCCAAAACTTTATACATATTAAAATTGTTGATCCAAACACAATATACTATTTTAAATAAATTTCATCTTTTCAAGTAGTGTTCGTAGATGCACTTAAATTTCCTATTTACGACTAAAGTTAAAACAAAGAAATCTAAAAAAATATGTTTTGATAAAAGTGAGGTAAATTGTTCATCGTTAATACTTTTTATAATTAAGGAATCAATATTTCTTATTAGGGAATTTCTAAAAAAATGTCCAGTTATTTTTTTTTTAATATTTATTGTGGCAAAACTTATGTGTATGATATTTGTAAAAATAGATTTGTTTATTAAAATATTAGAAGCACTGTAACTTGGTTGCTTGTAAAAGAACAATAGGTATTTACATTCATACGTTTAAATATAAACAAACTTTTTTTAATTTTTACATTGAGCTAGAATATTTAAGTCAGTCTTTTACTAAAACGTTTTCTTTATGTAGACAAATATTTAATTTATTCTTATTAATTGAAGAAAAATATTTCTCAGAACATAAAATTGTCCTTAATTTTCTTCATAAAATTTTTTTAACTCACTTTTTCATCTTTTGAGACCTATGAATAGTGCCTGAAATTTGAATTTTACTGATAGAAATAACTGGTCAATACTGTCAGAATTATTTGTTTGTTTACCATACAAAATGATTGGAATAGATACAGCCATACGTGATGGCTATTTTAATCAAAAATGAAAAATCTAAACATAACAAAAGACATAACATAACATTGTGAATTAACCTTATATACTTTGACATATTTTCGTGTCAAGATTAATCAACCTGTGTTAGGGTCAGCCGGGGTAAATCCGAACGCTTTTAGTAAGTTTCAACAATAACATAAGTTTTTTCTTTAAAAAGACAATACTTCCGGTATTCTGGTGCATGAAGTTGTTACTTTACTTCCATAGAACAATTCTATGGGGTAGCAAAATTTTTTGATAAATTATAATCGCAGGAAATTTAGCGTTCGTATTTAGCTCGATACTTTGCAACTTTCCTAAAATACCGTAAATACGAACGCCACTGTATTTCAGAAAATTCTTAGGGAAAATAAATTTAAAGTATTACAATTGTTAAACTTATATAAAAACTCAAAAAAATACGATAATAAACCTATTATGTATAATAATGCATCATATATAAATACAAAAATCAAACAGGTTAAAAATTAAAACCTTCAATAACTTTATCAAATCATAACGGATTTTTGAAAAACTTGGTATATAAAGTATTTTGGAGTGATTGAATGTAAATACAAAAATAAAAGTCAAATTTTTTAAATTCAATATGGCGGACTTTCCTTAAACTTATTTTTAAAAATGATCAAATTTGCTAACTCCAAATTCGTAATCAGCGACCCTGAAACCCCCCGAGTAACAATTTTCGAGCGAATCCAATGAATTTTTTAAGTCTCGTCCGCCATTTTGAATTTTGAAAAACTGACTTCAAATTGGTAATCAGCGACCCCAAAAACCGTAGAATACCAAATTTTATTAAGATCCTGAAAAACTTTTTTCAACAAACCATTTGGCAAAAAAAGTGGAACACTCCTTCGAGAGAACAGAGATTAAGTTTCTGCTAATTAATTACTAACGAGGATACATATAGAAAGAAAAACTTTTTTTATGTACTTTTATAATGTTAAAATAATAGTGTTATCAAATAAAAACAATTTTTGATATAAGAAAAAATTATTGACCCTATTTGAATTTAATTAGATAAAATTTTTTTTTGAGGCGCCGTAAAAACTTGTAATCACTAGTTGTCAAAATCACCACTAGTTCGAAAAACAGTAAACAAAATGATAAGTTTTTAAATTAAAAAAACAATTGTCAAAATTTTTATTAAGCCTAATAACAATTTAACAGATTTTTATTTTTTAATAATTGGCGTTTGTTATAAATGATTGAAATATAAAAATACATTTATCCTTATTTATATTTGACGGAAGTGACGTTTCATAAAAGTTTTATTTAATCGAACCTACAAATATCACTAGTGATTATAAGTTTTTACGGCCCCTCGTTTTCTTTGAGTCGAATTTATATTTGTTCAAATTATTTTTTTGCCTTAGGTATTTAGAATTTCTATTAAACAAATGAAAATTCTATGTAATTAAATTTTATCTAATAAAACTGCTGTCAAGTTGAAATATAAACTTTTTGTGTTCATTTGATGAAAACTTTGCTTCCTCATGGAGATTTATTGTGATAAATTTATGATAACTTATTTAGTATTATAATAATTTTAAAAAAGTGTTAAGTTGTAGTTTCTGTGTGTTTTAGATTTTTAACATCAATAAATTCGTAATATTTTATAATAAAAGATTCAATAATAGGTCAATTGATTCGTTTTTTAACATTTTCTAAGTTGTTTATGACAATTTTAAAGTTACACAAAGATTTTTAAATAAATAATGCAAAAAAATCAGGTTTTTCAACATTTTTCAATTTAAATAAGTTAATAACTTTGGATAAAATAATAGTAGAATATTAGCTAGTAGGTCAAAAGATTCATCTTAAAAAAACTCTACAAAATAAAAGAAAAATATTCATAGGTCATTATGATGTTAATACATTTTTTTAAGTTATAGTCAAAAAACGATTTTAAACAAATTTTTAAATGCAAAAAAATAAATAATTAATCATAGTACTCTCATTATTTGTCCGCCAGTGAGACCTATAAATTAAAAAAAAATGTATCTTATACTATTCGAGATATTTATAAAAATGTAATTATATACTCACACACACGAAACGACATTTTTTATAAATGTGAATTTTGGATTACTAATTATTAAAATATGTAAACAATTGTTAATTTGGAATTTTATTACTGCCAATATTCAAATAATAATTTTTGTATCACTAACTACTAAAGTTGTATTTTACACACGTAAAATGGTGTGTAAAGTGTATCTTTTTAACTTATCACTTTTTATGATGATATAACTCAATATAGGTAATGAAAGATTGAGAAAGAGAATCATTCTCAGAAAGAAAGTAACAAAGAGATCAAGAGAAGTTCATTTCTGAAGATTCACTTAAATTTTAATACGTAGATATATTTTTTTAATTAAGTTTCTCGGTCATTCAACTCATGCATTAAATTTGATTGTGTGATTTGCATCACACATGCAATCACTAATTTTACAAACTGGTATTATAAATAAGTTGTTATATATTTTGATATACCAATTAAAGTATTTTAATTTCTTTTTTTATTTCTTTTCTTAGGAACAATTGAGAGTCCACATTGAGAAACCGGTTATTGAATTGAAAACATTTTTTTTTTAATTTTATTTTTTTGTTAGTATATTCCAATAGAGAATTTTGTGCATCATTTATCTGAATAAAAAACATTTCCCTATAGTGGATTTCATGTCAAATGTTTTGATGAAAGAATATTATTTGTTAAATCGACTCTATTTTTTGTAAGAGAGTTGTTCTATGGATTAATAATTTATCAGCCAAATATTTTGTAATTTTATGGAAAATTGTTGAAGTGGAGGACTGAAGTTTCAAACTTCATCGTGACACGTTCTATTTAGGTTTTTTATTATACTAAAACGGAAATAAAAAAAAATTTCAGGACATGATTGTGATGAAAAAAGCAAAAATATTTGCTATTTAAATAAGTGCTATAGACATTTGTCTCAGATTGCTTACTGCCAAATCATGTTTGCGACAGTAAAATATTTTTTTATTCTTTCAATTGAATATTCCTGTCATTGTAAGATATTTTCATGCTCTTTACGATAAAGCCTTCAACTTAATGAAAAAAAAATTGTTGTTTATTCAATGAAGATAAATAAAAACACTTCCCTACTTAATAAAAATAAAAAAAAAATTATTTATCCATGAAAAATTGACTCTTTTTAATGTCATTGAGAAAAAAGAGAAAAATAATTATTTTACGTGTTGCTTTTTCTTGAATGTACTTAATGAGTGTGGATCTAGTCACAACTTGATTGACTGTGCACTAGACCATCACCCACTCGGCACAAACAGACTGCTTCTGGGTTATCTCCCTGCTTTTTCTATAGTTGACGTTTCTTCGGCTTGGTGCTCATTCTTATTCCTATTTAATGTCGCTAATTAATTGTTGTTTTAAAGACCTACTATAAATTATGTGTTATTAGATACAGTGAAAAGTAATTAAAAAGAAAATTTCTTAAAATAAACCAAACCCCACCTCTACTCGGGTTATGGCTTAGATTTTATTTATTTATTTTACAGTCATTTTTTTACATGACTTTTTATTTGAAAGAATTTTAATTCTATAGAACTTTATGTGATTCGAATTTTTAAATGACAAATTCTAATTCACCGAATTTCAAATTTGTACGAATTTTTAATTGATAGAATTATTGAGACGCCGAATTTTTATTTGTCCGAAATTACAAATTGCCGAACAAAGAATCGACAAAAAGATATCGGTGCAATGTTTAATATTAACCAATCACGATTTTCTTGATTATTTCTAATTGGTCAATTTTAAAAATTGCGCCGAATTGTTCGGCAATTTGTAATTTAGGACAAATAAAAATTAGGCGTCTCAATAATTCTATCAATTAAAAATTCGTACAAATTTGAAATTCAGTAAATTGGAATTTATGCGTCATTTAGAAATTCGAATCACATAAAATTCTATTGAATGAGAATTGTGTTAAATTAAAATTCTTCTAAATAAAAAGCCATGAACAGAAAATGATAGTAAAATAAAAATTCTACCAAACAAAACTTCGGTATC